GACAGTGTTTTAATACATTAAAATCTAAATTTTGAGATAAATATTAAATTTCAACCACAGGATAAACCTAATAATAGTCGGATATATCTAATAATATAATAGTTGGATAGATCTAATAATTATTGGGCGAACACCGAAAATTAAAGTATAATGAAACTGAATACTTAAAAATCATAAGTACTAAACCATATGTAACGAAAACGTAATTTTGGTATAATTTTTCCAAATGAAACACTATTGCGGTCACATTTGAATATAAGTGGCTTTCAATGTATATATTATTATTTTTATTGCCTTTGTAGGCAGACGAGCATACGGCCCACCGGATGGTGAGTGGTTACCGTCGCCCATGGACTTCAGCAATGCCAAGGGCAGAGCCAAGCCGCTGCCTACCGCTGTATATTAAATCAAATGAAAGAAGCGATATACATATTATATACATGGATGCGTATAAGGGTCTATAATTATAATGCGTGTCCCTCTTAGCAGAATTGTTAAGATTGGAACCGGTTCACTTCGGATCATATTATAGTTGAGCATGAATTTCGACTTGACGTTCTTGTGGTTTTACCAGAAACCTATGAGTAATTTTCTCGGTGACATTGTGATTAAAGTTCAATTTTAAGTACAAACTTTCACTAAGATATGAGTCAAGCTTCAAGCATTTATTGTTTTTTCCGTATTATGTTCATTTGGTTGAGCCGATGAAGAAAATAATACGATGTGGTATATGGTTAATGTTTCGAATGCTATTGTTCGGAAGCTAAAATGACACGACTGACAATCAAATAAATTGTGATTGACGGATCGTGGTTAACTCATTATTGAGTTAATATTGTCTTATATGTTTATATCTTTGCTTTACAATTGTAAGACACAGTATGATCGATATGGTATTTAGTTTTAAATGGTACATTCAGAAATATTAACATCGTGAGCTACTTAAGTGAGACTGCTTTCTCAAAACACGTTTAATTTCTCTATTAAATAATAAGTAAATTAATTAATTTGTTACCGAATCATCTCAGCCGGTAGGTTTCGTAGTTATTCTGTCGGTGTTATACGATAAGCCTTAGAAAGTTACATTTCTCCGGGCATTAAGTGAATGTAAATTTACTCTTTGCAGCCGTTATCGTGTCGTAGTTCAATATCCAAGGTCGTTTACTTTGGTTCCGCTAGGTTTCATTTCATTTTATTGTCTTTAAAATCGAATTTCATATTATTTTATATTGTTTTTTTTATATATTATCGCTAATAATCCCGTGAATCTAACCTATAAGTTTATTAATGTCACCGTTATAGTTATCATAGGTTTTTTTTAAAGATTTTAATAGTTTCTATTTATATTCCTTTTTTTTTTGTTGGTAAAAGGGTTTTTTTCTTATCTAAATTGTATGTTACCGGATTTTTTAAATTATTGTCAAAAAGTAATAATAGGTATCTACAATATTGATTTAACTATTATGAATAGAACATTTAACACATAGTTTTACATTTTGAAGACTAAAATTTTATGCTTAAAGCTTCACGAATTATGAAGACTTTCTTAGAAATGGGATAGCATCTTTGTTCGAGTCGTTTGAATCACGAAGACAAAGGTTGTGAGGAAGTTCTCGGAGGTCTCCATGTGTAGGCGGGCTTTAGTGAGTATTTGACACCGTGCTCGTGGTTTTATTACTCTGACATGTCGTTGAACTTTGCATAGGGAAATTTACCGAATATCATTTTTGTAAATTCCATCATAATATCTTGAAACGGCAGCTGCAGGATTTTTTGACAGAGTGCCAAAAGAGAAGCAACGGAGACAAGGAAAAAATAGATGTTTCTAAATTACGCAAATGATACCGCAACGTCAACTTAAATAATATTTTTTTAACAGAAATCTCCAAACGCTTGAAGGAGGTTACACGTGATGCTAAGGCTGGCTGGTACTTTGCACAGAGAGTGAGTCCGGCTGTCCAACGAGGCAACGTAGCCAGTATCTTGGGAACTGTGCCTCCTTCAAGCGCATTGGATGATTTGTTCTACTGTGTGAGTTAATTTATGTTAAATTATTTTGATTCGTTATATTAAGTTAGAAATTAAAAAAAACTTAAATAATTATTGTTAAGAAAATGATCATAATTATTTATTCAATTGCACTACAGCACTATTAGCGATTTGAATTTTGTGTCTAACGTTACAGTTAAATGACTCAGACGAATCTTTCTCATCAAAAATACAAATATCACTATCGAATAACACGATTGCCGTGTTAAAAAAAACTCCTGCCTATAACTTGGCTTCATATGTTAAATCCTTAGGAATGGTATTTGGTTATTATAATGAAACATAGCATTACATCATTTAAAAATTGTTTCTCAATGCCAATTCATCATCTGTATATAGATGACAATTCATAAAACTCTAATGAGTATTGTAGGTACCTAATTACATAGCATATCTGCCATATATAGGACATTATAGAATTGGTAAGGACATATATTTTTAAATTCGTGCATTTGGATCAATATAGTGTAGCGTGTTAATTTTATTACAAACCTACTAAATGCGAAGTAAAAGTGAAATTTGTGTTATCATGAATTATTTAAATAAGACAGAAAAACATTGGAGGCTATGCCTTTACATTGGGGACAGTATTCGCCTCAATGGCTTATCGCTAGTCAGTGACCTCGTTTATGCTTAAGAGTTATTCGAAAGGTATGCCAAGGTGATAAAGTGCTAACGACAAGTTTCAAAAAACATTTTCCGAACGGGATACAAATTATCTACTTTTATTTTAGTTTTATTGCTTAGATGGGTGAACGAGCTCACAGCCCACCTGGTGTTAAGTGGTTACTGGAGTGGTTACATCTACAACGTAAATGCGCCACCCACCTTTAGATATAAGTTGTAAGGTCTCAGTATAGTTACAAAGGCTGCCCCACCCTTCAAACCGAAACGCATTACTGCTTCCCTGCAACCTATGTTATGATGTTTTAAATGCTAAGCTCTGCATCAATTTCTTATCTAAAGAACACCGTTGTTGTCGATTCATTATTCTTATAAATAAAAGATGTATTCCATTGATTTGCTTAAATACGCTTTGTGCTCGTTTTTATATCGCGTTTTTAATGGGTTCGTTTCGCGAATAATAATAAAAAATTGAATCAAATTAATTCTAAGCTAAATTTATGAATACCGCTATACCCTATGTATTAGAAGTTTTGCGTATTCCGTTTTTATAACCAGTTTCGACAGATCTTCCCCACTTTCACGTATACGATTTCTAACGTATAAAAATTGACAAATCAATATCGATGTAACAAAATTCGTGAGATTGCTTGTTACCGTACTGTACCTACTGCAGTTGTAAAATTTATACGTGGAAAGTTATACGTCCATGATTATTAGTTGCATAATCTGATCAATTGTTAGTAATAATAAAAGCGAAGCGGACACATACGGATTGTGTAAGGAGAAAAGTGTCTTTAGTATGTGTGCTAGTGACCTTCTTGCGGAAGAACGATTCCTATATGTCCGAGTGTGAGTGCGACTGGTTCGGCGACTTTTCCGTGGACGCCGCATCTCAGATCACTCGGCCGCGACATTGACCCGCTATGTATGCACGGGCAATGCTCCGTATCGCGCAGCCTCTTTGTTTATATCCTGTGGGGCTTGCGGCGAGCCTTGCGTTCATCGTCCTTACTCGAAGCCAACAGGCTTATCCGATATTATTGATAGATCAATAGCTTCTGCGTCGGCTGTGTAAAACGGGCGCAAAAATCCAGACGTAAATAAACTAATTCAAGAGTGCTTAGTATCAAAATAACTTCATGAGGTAAACGTTTTCCTTGAAGCCGCGATTATAGATTTATTTATGTTTCGATATTTTAAACGTTCTATAGATCTCTGATATATAATAATTATTTTTTAAATAAGTAATTCCGTAAACCGTAAACCCAAGTAAAATAGATCATAAATAAGTAAAAATATTTTTTGAAATTGTACGTAGCGTACAAATTTAAATCGTTAAAAAAATGTTATTACATATTATAAAAATATTCTTTTAGAATAAAGTGCAAATTATCGAAGTAGTTTTCTTGAAGATCGATCATGCAGCTTAATGAGGAGGAAAAATAAAAATAAAAAACAGCAAGAGGTTACTATTAATTGTCTTTATAGATTTGTATTATTACTTATTGTCCGGTGCATTGAATTAAAATCATTGGTCAGTATGCGGAGAGGACTGCGATGTCGTAAGTCGTTAATAACATTCCGCAGGTGCGTCAGAGCATTCGTCACGGACCTACGGGCCACTGAGCGGATTCTGCAGCTTGCACATACATCATTAGCGGAGTAATTTCCTGAAATGCGGGTTTCAGGGTGACGCAAAGACGGACGGACGCCCGCGCTTTCAGCGGCGCCTACGTTGGACCCATTTTAGGACATGACTAAACGGAAATTCGACTCCTCTCGCTCTGGCCCGCTCCCTCCCGTGGGACGCGGCGTGCGCGTGTCTCGCTCGCACGAAAAGCTTCGTGAAATCTTTTAATAGTGTCCACGGCCGCGATCCACTTTCAACTAGCGGCGGGAAATGTGTAATACAAGGTTCAAAATTTAAAAAATCGCGTATGTACCCTCGCTTTTGCAATAATCCGTTTTAAGTGCTAATTATACGTTTTTTTTTTCGGAATGTAATAATACTTTCCTGCCAGCTGACAGTTTAAAAATAGAATTTTCTGTCATTAAATACTATTTTATGGGACAGCTGAAATTTTGTTCGATTTTTTTTCTTTCAAACACTAAATACGTACTACTCTTTAATTCCGGTATACTTTATTTTTATTTAAGCAGTACACAAACATGAGTCACAAACGAGATAATAAAATGTTGCTGACACAAAATTTTAGTACGCATACATCACTATTAGCGTGTTACAATAATCGATTCTTTTTTTGTTTTTTTTTTAATTCTGTTATTCCCGATGCTCAAAATCAATTTTCGATCGGAGCACTAACCTTTTTCTGTTGTTTCTCCCAGGCCGGGTCTAGGAGACCCTCACGCTCCCACTCCTCCTCTTGTTCCATGTAACCGTCCGGGTACAACCCGTCATAGTTGTTTATCACCCCGTTGTCCATCATCATGGTCACCGCACTGACCGTCGATTCGATGTTCGTTCGAGCCTATGACCGCGAACTCGCGTGTGTTGATTCGTACCGCGCACTGCAACACGCAGCCGGCCGCTCGCCCGCTGCAAGAAGACTGGCGCACGAGCGCTACTAGCGGCCGCACCGAGAACCTTCGGAGCACGTTCCGTTTCACGTACTCAACTTTTTAATATGGGTACAACTATTTCGGATCTTAAGGAAAACGGATCGGATAACTTGGTCGGTGCAAAGTCGTTATAACTTTGCGGCCAAAAAAGTAACGATTTCATGAATTTAAACCTTCTCTAACTTTCCATTTTTTTTTGTATTTACGCATGTTCAGAATAAAAAATGCTTCATCACAATCAAGTCAATTCCTCATTTTTATTGATAACTAGTGGTCCCGCAGTAGTCGAAATTCGATTATAATTAATTGAAATTATAAGTTTGAACATTATTATGGTTCTATTGTTAAAGACTTATATAGTCAGAGATTTCGCGAAGACTACACTATAGACAAATAATATTAAAGATAAACAATATTACTCTTTTCTCAATTTGACCACAGACTTTAAACAAAAACAAAAGTTTGACAATAAATAAATATGTGTGTAATAATATATTGTGTTGTGTCAAATACATAGTAGTGTGTGTAATGATTTTTTTATTAATTTAATGTATTTTTTTATGCAATATAAATTTGGGAAATTTCATATTCCTCCATACGCGCAATTTTCGTAAAAAGGGATACAAAGTTTTTGCTTCACGTATTAATATATAGATATTATATAATTGTTAATATTATAAAATATGTATTAATTTATATTTTTCATTTTACGCATTTGATAAGGCCAACACGGATGACAATTTAAATAGGAACTTTTTTTAAAGCTTAGAAATCGTACTTCTTTTGTTTTTAATAATGTTCTAATATCCAGTTAGTTTTCCTTTATTATTGTATCATAATACTGATTAAATAAAATTGCCGAATTTCAACACGCATTACTGGAAAAATAGCAAACAAGTTAGAATATGAATTTCGAACCAGTTATACGAATGAGGTTTGAAGTAGTATATAGTTATATAGATACTAGCTGACCCGGCAAACGTTGTTTTGCCACATTATATAAGATTTCTAGGGAATTTCTAGTGTAGAAAAAAAAGTAACTTATTGTGTGTAAGGATGTGGTAAATGAGTGAAAGAGGCATGTAGCGCTGTGAACGATTAGTAAATGTCCAAAAATAAAAATAAATGTTAGGGGTGGACAACCCTTATCACTTAGGGGTATGAAAAATAGATAGTAGCCGATTCTCAGATCTACTGAATATGCATATAAAATTTCATAAAAATCGGTCAAATCGTTTCAGAGGAGTATGGTAACTAACATTGTGACATAAGAATTTTATATATAAGATTGTAAATAAATAATTATTGCACTGGAAATTAATGATAATTTTACGATGACAGTAAAATTAACATGAGAGTTGCACAGAAAAATTAAAATAATAGGTATAACAGTCACTGCTACGATTGATACACAAATAAAACCAAAAAAACATGGCTGAAAAATGTATAGTGAGTAAGACAGGAGACCGGCTTCGTTCCCATCCCTACTACGTGATGTTTGCTGGATGAGTGGTGACACCTGGCGGGGATAACTGATTGATTGATAGTTGATCAGTAGTCGACCGGCGAGGGTGGGAGATCAAATTGAATTAAAAAAAAAAACATAATTAAAGGAACTTGAAATTTTAAACTCTGAATAAGAATTTATCGTACTACAATTATATAATAATATTTGGTTGCCATCTTGCAACCTTATTGCGGATCTGTGAATAGAATTAAAAAAATTAAAATCGGGATGGAAAAACAGGGGTTGATCATATAAGAGTGAAAATTAGAGGAATATGAATTTTTTTATTTTAAGTAATGACAAAATAAAAATAAAATCTTGCCAAAAAAATTAAAATTTATAATTAACAAACGAAAAAGAGGAGTTGATCATAGAGGGATGAAAAATTGAGAGTAACATCAGATTTTTTATTTTAATTCATGACAAAATAAAAATAAAAACAAAATTCTTGCAAAAAAAAATAAAGTTTTTAATTAACAAATAAAAAATAAGGGTTGATCGTAGAGAGGTGATTTAGGGTTGTATGTATTTTTGTATGCTGTATCATAAAAAAATAAAAATAAAATTTTTTGTCTAAAAAATAAAATAAAAAATTTAGGGGTGGACCACCCTTAAGATTTAGGGGGATGAAAAATAGATGTTGTCCGATTCTTCACCCTGGCCGATATGCACGCTAAGATTCACGAAAATCAGTCGAGCCGTTCCGGAGGAGTTCAATCACGCACCCCGTGACACGAGAATTTTATATATTAGATAGGAAGGGCCACGTGCCTGTTGTCATGATAACAAATTTATTGTACCTACTTAAAATTACGGTAACATTAAGGTTATAAGAATTAAATCCAATAACTCGCTTTTGGCCCCAAATTTGAAAACAACTCTTCTAATATCGATTATACATTTCATGATTTAAGTATTTTGTCGAGTAAAGGTATATTGATACTAACTTGTGTTTCTGTCTGATGACTATTGAGCTAACGCTGCTCGTTTATTAATGTGCCTTTCAAGTACGGAAGGGAATTATTACCATTTTAAATTATTTACATTTAATGAGATTTTTTTGCTTTTAAGAACGATTTTATCTGCGAAATTTCACGACCTATGATTTTTATTTCACGGTTGGATTTTTGCCAGAAATGCCCACCCACGCATAGCTATCATCTACCGATTTTGTTCCAGTCAATGAACTTTCCCCCGCAATTTGATCAAAATTGGAACTGACAATGTAGAATTAAATGTGTCTTGAAACGTAAATGCACAGTTATGAAAATAACTGAAATAGCTTTATGAAATACTAGCAGCCCGCTCCGGCTCCGCTCGGGTCCTTAACAAAAATTTCAACGATATCTGACGTTGTTTAATGTGTCGTGACAATTTTTGTAAATAATAATGAGTTCTACAAAGTCGTTTTTTTTTTTTTTTTGTCAGAAGGAAATCGCCGGACTTCCGCCCTCCACTGGGGATGAAGGGCGGGGCATGTCAGAGTCGAACTGACTAAAACCTCCTGCCGCTCAACAACCAACGTCCAAACCTCGCATGAGACAGAACTCATGAAGAGGCAGAGGGGGGTAAGTGAAGCGTTTAGTGCGGAGCACATCTCTCCCATCACCCTCCCCCTCGGGACGCCGGACCGGCGGTCGTCGGCGCCACGACCACCAGCCCTTTCGGTCGGCAGGCTATCCGAAGCCCGCCTAGATGGCGCCGGTTAGAGTGAGCTATCCTACGGAATACCCCGCTGGACCAGAACCAGCGTGAGTCGAGGATAGCCGGGCTTCCATCACCCGGATGCTCTTGCGTAAAACGCGTGCAGAGCAGCTTGCACGTCGTCTTCTTAGGCCCTCCTCGCCGGTCCCCAGACCGACATGTGAGGGGGACCCGAAACACTTAGAGGGCCAGGGCTTGGGCGAGATCCGCCTCCCTGGCCCCCGCTCGACGGCGGCGGGATTGTGCGTCTCTCACGCGCCCCGCCGCCTCCATCTGCAAGATGGTGCACTCGCAGAAGTCGAGCATCGCCTTCCACGACTCGTCGTCGCCGAGCATCGATGCCACAACACTCGGCAACGACAAGTCGTTTCCTATTTTTGCGACGAGGACACGGCGCCACCCCTCCCATGCGGGGCAGGCAACGAGCGTGTGTTCCGCCGTGTCCAAGTCGCAACCACAATGGTGGCACTCTGCCGTCGGCTCGGCTCCGATCCGGTGCAGGAACTCACCGAAGCAACCATGCCCAGTGAGCACCTGCGTGAGCCGGAAAGTGAGGCGTCCTCTGTCACGATTAACCCAATCCACAAGGACCGGGCGAATCGCCTCGACGGTCCTACGACCGGCCGAAGGATCAGCCAGCCGTCTGGACCATGACTCCAGCACAATCTACAAAGTCGTAGTACATTATTTAATTGTATCATCAATAGTTTTCGCAGGGCACGCGATGTCTATACTTCTATACTAATATTATAAAGAGGAAAGATTTGTTTGTTTGTTTGTTTCGAATAGGCTCCAAAACTACTGGACCGATTTGAAAAATTCTTTTTCCATTAGAAGCCGATATTGTCCCTGATGAACATAGGCTACTTTTTTATTATTATTTTAATTATTTTTTTTGGTTTCATGTGTGTTTTAATGTTTCCGAAGCGAAGCGAGGGCGGGTCGCTAGTAAATAATATTTTGGGTAATTTTTTCACACCTTGGGTTACAATTGGAGTTTTAGTAAGAATCCCTATTTTTTTTCGAAAAAGATTATACCCTATGTCACTCGGGAATAGTGTAGCTTCCAAACAGTGAAAGAATTTTTCAAATCGGTTCAGTAGTTTCGAAGCCTATTCAATACAAACAAACAAACAAATCTTTCCTCTTTATAATATTAGTATAGAAGTATAGATAATAATATAATATTAGTATAGATTGTAACCTAGTAGTTACATACTAGCGGCGTCCTAAGCCGTACGAGTACATACCGAGAAATATCATTGTTGCAGAATATGCACATACTAAGTAGCCCAACGTAACTATGTGTACGTACGCATTATTCGTACGTAGTATTTACAATTAACAATAATGTTTTTAATCCTTTCAAAAACGAATAAGACTGAAGTTCTTAAAAACTTTGTGGAGTCCGTAATTTGAAAATGACAACGCCCTTAAGAATCATTTGGATGCACTTGGTACTAGTCGAACCGGTGACTGATATGAGCAAAACGACTTAATATCATTCTGTGTGCTTAGTGCGAGTTCTTTAACGTTCTCGATAGCGTAAAAGCTAGCTCATATTTGTATGGAATGGGATCGTTTGCCTACGTTTGCCGTTAGGGGCGCTGTTCCAACTGCATTCATAATTGGCTTAACTTTTACACTAAAAAACTTTTACATTAAAAAACTCGCACTAAGCATACCGGACGACATTTCAATGTCAATTTTGGTCTTGTTCACATAAAAATCGTTTATATGATAATGGAATTTGCTGTTGTGTTTGACATGATGAACAAAAT